ACTTTGATCTGAATTATAAATATTTTCAGATCCAAACTGTTCAATAAGAGGCTTTACTGCTTTCAAAAAATCATCAGTTGTTTTTTGCAAATCAACAGAATCTTCCAATGTTCTTCTAGTGACAAACTTCGTAACTTTTCTTGAAAAAATTCGGTGGGACTTTTTGAATCTTGCTACCCAACTGGGAGATGCTTTAAATATAGGATGTAAATTTCCTATTTCTTCCTGAGCTTGCAAAGCCCATCTTTTTATATCAATATCATGAACCATGAATCCTGATTCAACAGCAGCAGTAAATTTACCATGTGTAAATTTGGAGATGTAAGATAATTTTTCTACACGATTTCCACCTGATTGCAATTGTCCTTCCCACCGTCTTAACTGACGTAGAGATGAAACTCTTTTAAATGTATGTTGCACTAATTTTAGAGAACGACTCCTTGTTCTATCGTTATTATTTTCTTCATTATCTCTATTCCGCCAATACTCAACAGCCCGTCTTTTATAAAAATTGTCAAAATCTTCGTCAACATTTGAACATTGAGGTTGAGAATTCAAATTATCTTCACCCCATGCTTCTTCATTTTCAATTATTTCAGGACTGTGTAATTTATAAGGTTCTTCATAATCGAGATATATTTCTTCCGTTACTTCCAACCCATTATAATGAAAAATGCTATCCAGTAATACTTTTTGTGTGTTTCCTTTTAATTCTATTTCTGCTTCAGTTACTGGCATTTCTATTAGATACATTGAATTTATTGACATCAATAAAAGTCTAACAACGTTACGCGGATTAATAATCATTTCCAAGGATGTTAAACTTTACTGTCTGTTGTAATAAAACTATTTACTCCTAACTTCAACCACTTCAAAAATTTTACGTGCTTCCGATAATTGGGTAAAAGCTATTTTATATTCAACATTTACCTAAAACAATACAAAATATTAACCGATTTTAATTCTTCCTTTTTTCATCGATACACCAGACATTAAGGAACATATTTATGTCGAGAAAATTATGTAAAAGACAGTAGCTCGTAGAATATTTACGTACCTCTCACATGAAAGTTCTCGTATTCTCGTGGTTTAGCAAGTTCCACTGATGTGAATATAACAGAAGACAGAGTATAAAGATGGTGCATAATAGAAGAACAGAGTATAAAGACTGTACTGACTGTGAATATTATACGCTCACGTTAGATACACGGTCGCCTTATATACTAGGCGGTGCACATTTTGTTTTCACGAACGTGACGAACTGATGGCGTATCGTCACGTATATACGATAGGCCTATCGTCACGTACATAGATAAGCTTATATACGGAGGCGATAACAATTAATTCTCGAAAATGATTTCTCGTAACGTTACTTTATTATACATGGTTGAATTTGGAAAAAAATAATCTTTACTTCGGTAAAAAAAATTTTTAATTTTGCAAAAAGGGGGGCGGAGGTGGTGGTTAAATAAAAAAATATTTAATAAAAAAAATTTTTCTTTGCACAACCTCAAAGTACTCTTCAAACTATTAAAATTTTGTTGAAACAATTATTTTGTATGTCTTATAGTTTCGACAATATTCGATCTCAAAGAAAAGACCGTTTTTTTTCAAAGGGTTGTTTCATCCCTTAAACATGAGATTGGGCCGATATAAAAAAATACATGTCTCTTTGATTTATTTGTTTTATAACATATTTCAAGGAGAATCAAATCGGTGAGGGACACCCCTGACAGTTCCCTTGTAAGTTGGAGAAAGGAAGAGGGTTCGTGGTGGCCAGGTGGGGGGCCCTAATAGTGGTCGGGGTCTACCTCCCCCCGAAGAAGGACTTGGACCTCCCAGATCTAGGCTCCAAGGATCGGGAGAGCTGTACGACAGTACCTCCCGAGTCCTGTCATCATAGCCGGGGACTTTAACACAAAGTCAGAATTATGGAAGTCTCGGCATGGCGACAGGCGGGGGAGGAAGTGAAGGACTAGGCCGCGGACCTGGGCCTGCACCTCCTGAACAAGGGTGAAAAATCAACCTTTGTAGGGTCGCAGGAAGAATCGATTATTGACCTGTCATGGGCAACCCCTGCGGCCCTCGGGAGGGTGCAGGCATGGAGGGTGGCGGATGAATTGAAATCCCTTTCGGACCGCCAAATCATATAAATGGAGCTATCCGTCACCCTAGACTGTCTGTGGCCCAGAAGGAAGGAAAACCCCCGATCAGCTCGATGGGCCCTGAGCCAGCTAGATAGGGAGGCACTTAATGTCTCCCTAGAGGCTACCACCTGGCCATCATGGAAGGAGGGGCAGGACCTGGACTCTGTGGTAGCCGAGTTCATAGGCCTGATCACACGTGCATGTGATCAGGCCATGCCAAAAGTCGGGTTCTGCCCCAAAAGGGACGCCTGGTGGTGGACCGATGATATAGCGGATTTAAGGAGAAGTCGGTCCACCTCAGGCGAGCCTTTAGAAGAGCCCGAGACAAACGGGCATCGAACCCTGAGTCAACCCTGTCCGCCCGCAGCGAGTATTGCATGGCAGCGCGAGGATCACGCAAGGCCATAGAGCTGGCCAGGGAAAAAGGGTGGGACAACCTCCTCCTAACGTTAGATGCGGATCCATGGGGGCGCCCATACAAAATGGTCATGCAGAAACTACAGCCATCGGCGCCCCAGTTAACGGAGACGCTTGACCACCGGTTATTAGAACGGGTAATGGGGACTCTTCTCCCAGTTAGGAAGGGGAATCCCCTACGCCCATATACTACCCCCTCCCTCGAAGAACAGAGGGAGGTACCGGGGATCACGAAGGAGGTGGCCGGGGCCATCCGAAAGGTCAAAAGCCGAAAGGCTCCAGGACCGGATAGTATCCCCGGCCTTACCCTTGCCTCGGGGTTCATAGAGGGAAGAATGGCTGACCTCTTCGAGGCGGCCTTTAAGGAGAGCAAATTCCCCCCAGTCTGGGGGAGGGCCAATGTGTTCCTCCTCCAAAAAGAGGGCAAACCGGAGGATTTCCCCTCCGCGTATCGCCCCATGTCTCCTGGACGAGGCGGGCTAAGTGTTCGAACGTGTCATCGCCGCCTGCCTCATGGAACATATGGCCCGGGAAGGTCAAAATCTCGATGACGGCCAATTCGGCTTCCGAGGGGGAAGATCGACGGTGGATGCGATCTCGCGTCTAAAATCCCTCTCGGAAGCGATAGTAATGGAGGGCAGAGTGGGAGTTGCAGTATCTGTGGATATTGCAAACGCGTTTAACACCCTGCCCTGGGGTAGGGTGGTGGAGGCGATGTCCCAACACTTCCGCTTCCCACACTACCTCACGGCCGTCATCGAAGATTACTTCCGGGGTCGGCGTCTAAGTTGGAGGGACGCCGACGGCAAGATACGCGAGAGGGGAATGAGCTGCGGGGTTCCACCGAGGTCTGTTTTGGGCCCGCTCCTGTGGAACCTGGGCTATGATGAAGTCCTCCGCTATGATGAACTCCGGGTAGTCCTCCCCCCGGCTGCAGTATCATCTGCTATGCAGATGATACATTAATCTAAGCCGGGGGAGAGACTGGGGAATGCGGTACAAACCGCAAATTACGCGGTGGCATGCGCCGTGCGTGCTATCCGCTGCGACGGGATTTTCGCTCGCCGTTGGCAAACTGCCGTCGGTCCACGCGCCTCGGTTGTTCGCACTCGCACCAAAGAGTTGGGCGCCAGGTGCAGCGGGCTGCACCGTTCACCAATACGAAACGATACACCACCCAAGGCCGAGACACGCGAATTCGACGGGACCGGTAGCTCCGCGGTATTTTATAGTCGGTAGACGGGAGGGTTCGATCGGGAATCCGGGATTCAGTTGGGAAGACACAAAAATAGAGACGCGCTTCGCTCATCTCAGTTTCTCTTTATTACAGGAATCGGAACGGTCCGACCCCTCGATACGGTACACTCCGCGAGACGCTCTCGCGAATTCGAAACTTGCTCTTCGCCGATAACTATTACGAGACACGGTACGCACGAGACACCGGAACGACAAAGCAGGTAGAAGGTCTTACAGATTCGGGAACCTCCCGGCGACGTGGTCCTCCGACCCTCTTCCTCTCCTCGCTCCCCCGCAATTTCTCGCTCTTCGGCAGCCCCCTGGGCGCGTGGAACTCCACCACACTACTGTGGTCCACCAACTCTCCCTCTCCGCCCTCGGTAATCGGGATCCCTGTTCCCTCTGTCACAAATGGCTCGATATCGGTAATCGACACTTTTGTCTTAGGTGATGATAACTCCGCAGGACTCGGTAATCGACTCTCGAAGGAGAAGGTAAGAAAAGAAAAAGAGAGTAAAGAAACGGGAGTGCCGTCTTTTATTTCTTTTGGGTTGTCGCGCTACCCGTCCTTCCCCGTTCTTCGTCGTGTCTTCCGATACGGGAATCCTTCCGCGGATCTTTGTTTTCGATCCGCGGGACGGGGGCTTGGTCTCACTCTTGCTCGTTCTCTCTCTCTCTCTCTCGCTCGCGCTCCCGCTGTCTCCTTGTCTAGGCCGGCTTTGTCTAGCCGGCGCTCACGGTTCGCGCACGGGAACGCCGACAGTTTGGCGCGATATCCCTGCGGGCCTGTGGACAACGGAATCGGCAGCGAGAATCTTTCAAGGCGATACGGAATCGATAATAGTACTTTTAAAGAAGCGCATTCACCTGGGGTGGCGGTCCTGTCGAGGTGTGTCGTCCTCTTCCTTCTTCCGCTGGTCCCTCCGGTCTTGATGGGCGGCACAGGAGGTCCAGGGGCACAGAGCTCGGGGACCCGGGACCGTTCCACCTGCACTCTTCTATCGCTAACACTAATTAATACGGGGGGCGCAATGTGGCTCTCCCCCCGTAATTCCCGCGCGATGTACTGTCCGCACCCCCGCATAAGGGCCGAAGGTTCGCCCTGGAACGGGCGCCTTCCCGGCTGCCACATCACACCGCAGATTGGGTCTGACGGTGGCTGAAAGAAAAACACAAGCGATATTCTTTCACAAGAAGGGGATGAAGCCACCTCAAGCCCATCTGCGGATGGGAAGGATTAGAATTCCAATAGAGGCCCAGATGAAATATCTGGGCCTCACACTGGATGGCACCTGGTGCTTCAGGGAACATTTCAGTCGCCTGATCCCCAGACTAAGAATAATATCGATAAACCTTGGCAGACTAATGCCAAATATCGGGGGACCAGACCGGAAGGTACGTCGTCTCTACGCGGCAGTAGTCAACTCGGTCGCCCTATATGGAGCGCCCATTTGGGCAGAAGCTCTGGTCATCAGCCGTCCGTCCCAAGCACTACTGCGTAGGGTGCAGCGGACGGTGGCGACCAGGATCATCAGAGGGTACAGGATCGTCTCCCACGTGGTGGCGACGGCCCTGGCGGGCATGCCTCCTCTGGAGCTCCTCGCACTCATGTACAGGTCAATGAGTAAGGAGAAGCTCCGGAGGACACTACAGGCAGAAGATTCGCTCGCCGAGTCAATGCGACGCCTGAAGCACCAGGCTCGGCAACTCCTCTTCCAGCGATGGCAGAGGCGTCTGCAAGACGCCAGGTAAGGAAGGAGGAGTGCCGAGGCCGTCCGGCCCTGTTTACCGGAGTGGGTAGACAAGGCCTTTGGAACCCTAACATTTAAGATGACACAGGTACTCACCGGACATGGTTGCTTCGGTGAGTACCTTTGTTGAATTGGCAAAGAACGTACGGCGCAGTGTCACCACTGCGAGGCTGACTATGACTCCGCGCAGCACACACTGCAGGACTGCCCTGCATGGGCGATGGAGTCATGGTCAGAGAGTTGGCTCCTGATCTCTCACTCCCCAGAGTGATTAATACCATACTGGAGAGTGCGAGAAAATGGGACACTATTGCCTCCTTCTGCGAGGTAGTAATCTCGCAGAAGGAGGAAGCGGAAGAGATACGCCGGCAGGCGGAGGGCAGGAGGAGGGCGCAGAGAAGATGGCAGCACCGTCGGCTACAGCGTTGCTCCCCCAGCCGAGGAGATGCCGACTCCTCGAGAGAGGAGGCGGTTAGGGGCATGGTGGGGCGACCCCTACCACCACTCCCACCACCCCCTCCACCACTCCTCCTACCATTCCCTCCGACAACCCCTCCCTTATCCCATCCACCGTCCCAAGCCCCACCACCATCCCGCAAGAGTCCACGCCCCTCCCAGCCGCATAATGCCCCCTTGTAGGACAAAGCGGGGGAGGGGGGACACTACTAAAGAGAGCGGTGGTAATACGCACTCGATTGCCAACCGCCGCAATAACAAAGTGAGGCCAGAGACGGGGAGCTGATCATTTGTCCCCCAGTCGACCGCCGACTCCCAAAAAGGAGGTCGGATGACGGTGAGGGGAGAGTGTGGTGGGAAATCACCAACAAAACACTTCCTACTCTCACCCATAGGACCCACTATATAAACAGTGGGTGGGAAAAGAGAGGTTGCGACCCCTCCCAGCTTTTTATAGGCTCGTGTGTCCGGCGGTTAGGGGATTTAATTTTCCCCCCGTAACCGCCGGGCAGGAGGGTGGGACACTGGGCGAGGATTTCCGGTGCCCCAACCAGCGCTCCAATCGTAGGGCAGCTAGTTGAGGAGGTGGAACAACTAGCCGTACAACAGTATCTAGGCGGCGCCTCGCCCGGCTGGGAACGGAAGTTGAAGCCGGCCTTTTTGGCTGGCTTCCCCCTTCCCAACCACATGGGCAGGGCGTGAGGGATGGAGAGGGAGCAGCGGTTGAAGAGGAGCTTCGGCTCGTTTCCTCCCCTTCTCCATTCCTCAGAGAAGACGACGGCTCATCGTCAGGACTCGGGGCTCCGATCGCAGTTACGCGGCACCAGGGCCCTGAGACAAGTCTCTTCGCAGCGCCACCCGGGGAGGTTTTAGCCGGTAGGTGTCCGGCATAAACCCTCACCCTTCCTCGAGGGTGAGGGGTATCCATGATGGATTTCCTCCTCGTCACAAAAATATGGTTAGGTTAGATTGTAACCGGACCACGAGTTCTTTGAGCCCCTTAGGCCAGTGATGAAGATGCAGGATTCTCAGATTGCAGCAAATCGGTCGCCATCCGTCCTGATCCGTTGCGCACGGCGTGGTCCCTCAAGGAATGGACGGGATTCCAGGAAAACACTCAACACCGCACGTTTCTCGTATAATACTTTATTTGTCTCACTTCGAAATACAAAGTATATTATCCGCCGCGTCTTCGCCTATCGTCGCGTCGCATCGCGTTACTCTCCGTCGCATCCACTATCGCGCCCGTCCGTCGCTATCGCGTCTGGATTAACGACCGTTATTCCTTTTTACGTTTTACGTCGCAATAGACGGAGCGAGACTTACGCGTTACTGCTCTTCGACTGACTTCTTCGAGAGTCAGGATCCCACTGAGTTTGGCCAGCGCTTTCACGCCTTTCAACTCTCACATTCTCTCTACGCCAGGCCTTTGGCGACGCTCGCTCGCGATCTTCCTTTCGACGCGCCACCTACAGACGTTCCGACGGACTTCATACTCGCATCTTAACCGTAATAAAATAAAGATGTATATTTCTTAATCATTTCACGCTTTCCACGCTTGGTTATTTATAAAATATCTGTTATAACAAAATCAACAATATTAATATATATATATGTGTAACGAGGAGTTTTACCCCCGTTACCATCGTGTGACGGCGACCACCGATCGTCACACGATCGCGAGAAATCCTCGCTAAGCACCCGGCAACACCTATGCTGCGGCAACCCGCCAGACCGCCGGGAAAGGCCGAATTCTCCGAAACGGTCGGGGAAGATCGGTCCCCCCCAGAAAGGGGTAATTCGCGGAAATCGCATGCGCGACTTTCCGGGAAATCGGGGGAACTAATCCCCCGATTATCGGCCACCGATCGTCGAGAGGAATTTAGGGTATAAAACCCGCTCTCGACGAGAGATCGAGGCAGACCGTGAGAGACAGTCAGTCAGTCAGATCAGCTACCAAGGAGAGCTCCAGCGAGAATCGTGAAGAGAAGTCGACGAGAAGGCAAGGCGTCCGCCGGTGAGTAAAGCTTCCACACCGTACCGAACCACCGGGAACTTTTACAAGACCCGGCAGCCAAGCCTCGTCAATCGACCGGCTTCGCGAATTTACCGTATTCATCCGTCTGTGTCGGCAGCAGTTAGCCACCGACACGGAATAATTCTAAGTCACTGTTCGCGACTTTACCGTATTCGTCCGTCTGTGTCGGCAGCAGTTAGCCACCGGCACAGAATATTTCTAAGTCTCTGTTCGCGACTTTACCGTATTCGTCCGTCTGTGTCGGCAGCAGTTAGCCACCGGCACAGAATATTTCTAAGTCTCTGTTCGCGAATTTACCGTATTCGTCCGTCTGTGTCGGCAGCAGTTAGCCACCGGCATAGAATAATTCTAAGTACCTGTTCTCGAATTCTAAGTGTTCGTCCGTCGACGTTAGGCAGCAGTTAGCCGCCGCGCCGACATAGATTAAGTATCTGTTTCCGAACGAACGGCAGCAGTTAGCCACCGTTCCGCGATTTCTAAGTGTTCGTCCGTCGACGTTAGGCAGCAGTTAGCCGCCGCGCCGACATAGACTAAGTATCTGTTTCCGAACGAACGGCAGCAGTTAGCCACCGTTCCGCGATTTCTAAGTGTTCGTCCGTCGACGTTAGGCAGCAGTTAGCCGCCGCGCCGACATAGACTAAGTATCTGTTTCCGAACGAACGGCAGCAGTTAGCCACCGTCTCGCGAATATAAGTGCTCGTCCGTCTACGTCGGCAGCAAATAGCCACCGACGTAGAATAGTCTCTAAGTTCCTGTGCGCGAATATAAGTGTTCGTCCGTCTGTGTCGGCAGCAGTTAGCCACCGACACAGAATATTTCTAAGCATCGGTTCGCGGAATTATCGGTGTTTGTCCGACTTTATGTCCGTGATAAGCTGCCGGAATAAACCACCTCTCGCTTATCCGAAAGAACAGCTGGCGTAAAGCGCCCTCAACAGGACTCGTGGCCGAGGACGTCGGACTGCCAAGAGGCCGCGGAACATCCCCTCTGACCCCGCGGATAGGGGACCATCCTTGCGGCTAAGCGGGGAGTCACGGGCACCGAGGAACGGGCATCGCCGACGCCACACCGAGCCAGCGAGCCCGCCTACATACATTTATATATATATAGAACCAAATATCTTTTTGAATAAACGGGGCGCCTCGCGGGGCGCACCACACTTGCTAACACACCAAAACGCCGGATACACATTTCTTGCGAGAAGCAACCTTGCACCTCCCTCCTTCACCCGAGTAACGCACCGACGCGGCGGCGAGCGAGGCGTCGCGGAAGCGGCGAGCCGGGCGCGACGGTGGGGCGACCGATCGCACCGAACCCCGCGGGCGTTACCGTTATATATGTATATAAACTTATACCTAACTAATTCTATTTCTTATTTTTCAGGTCACCGTGGGATATCACAGGACTCCTCTCGGTAAGTATAACTTAACATAAAATTAATTTGTACTAATCTTTTCTTTGCTTCAGGTCGCCGTGGGATATCTCAGGACGCCTCTAGGTAAGTATAACTTAAAGTATTACTTATTTGTACTAATCCTATCTTTCTGTGTTTCAGGTTGCCGTTATAAGTTCGGCATAACAACGGGCGACTTAAACTACATGTATTCTACTTGTATATATAAAAACAATCACTGTAACTAAAATATAACAATTTTTCCTCTTATCGTAAAATGCAACTAAAACATATTACTCTATTGATTATCGGACGATTCGCCTTCGTTTGGACTTTGTAAATAAACATTTTATAAAAACTTAAGCATTACGCACGCTTGTGTCTACACTCAAATACATAAAACCCGGTACACTAAAAATTTAGGAAAAAATTACAAAATTTCAAATGATCATAACTTGGTAAATAATGAAGATACAAATATGCGCAGAAATGCAAAATGAAGCTTGAAACGTCCTCTTTAAGAATATCTGAATGGCAATTATGCTCGGCCATTTTTTTCAAAATGGTGGATGATAAAATGAGAGGATGCAAAATTGATAATCAAAGGTCCGTGCTTGCGATGGTGCATGGTGTGCATCAGGTATCGCAGCGTAATGGGACCAAATGCACATGAAAGTATAGAGTGTTATCTTTAAAATGCTACTTTACCGAGCTCAATGTGATCATTTTTCACTGAGTTGTTCCAAATTTTGCTAAAAATGCGGTTTTCTTGTTAAATTTGCATAATTCAGTGAATAAGTATCGCATCAAGCTCTATAACGAAGTATTTTAAAGAAAACATTCTATACTTTTAGGTACTTTTCGTCCCATTGAGCTGCGACACTTACTCTGCTCCATGCGCCGTCGCACGCTCGAACCTTTTTTTAGCAACTTTCCATGTTCTCCTTTTTATCACCCGCCATTTTGAAAAAATATCCTTGCTTACAATTTCGATAGATCTTTCGAAAAATACGATTTCAAAGCTTTCAAACCGTTTTTGAAATTTGCTGCTAGGATATTTAGGTGTCGAGATATTCAATTTCGAATTTGCAACAAATGTCGATTCAGCGAGGCTTAAGGGGCTAAGAGGCTCTGCGGCTTTTCGTTTGGTTCTTTCATAATTTCAATAGCCGCATTCATTATTCTCTATACAATAATTTACACAATTTTGCGAATTGGAAATTTAATTTTTATCAAAAGTTATTCTTTATCCTTCAGTTACGCATGATCACTGTGGTATACACTTTAGTTCGCGAAGCTGTCTCTAGCTCTCTACCTTCTCCGTACGATTGGCCATTATGGTACACAGCTTGAATATGCTGTTCAGGATCGCGCCTGAGTTCGCGGTGACCCGGCGCGCGGGATGCCGAGTCGCTGGACGCCACCTGAACGTCGAAATTCCCTGGCGCTCCTAGTCCACGGAGCCGCCGCGAAGCGGCGATCTGGGTTGTCGCGCGCGCGAGCCCCTCGGCTCGCACGCGAGTTCGAGCTGCCCAGGGCATATAAGAGTGCCCGCGGAGACGATCAGAGATTGCCTTCATACAGCTTTTGGCCTTCGTACGGTCCACCGCCGATAGTGGCACTATCTCTTGTACGCTGAACTTCGCAAGTTTGTCAGTACGCCGGGCTTACGTTCTGGCTTGACTGAGATTTTGTCGGTGCGCCGGGCTTTAATGCTTGGCTTGACTGGATTTTTCTTAAATGTATGTGCCGAGACAATAAACAAAGACAAACAATTTTCCTTTTCCGAACGTGTTCACTCCGATAAGCGCTGCCTCATGCGACTTTTCTTTTTCCGTGATCTTTTCCTTTCGAGGCGCGTTGCTTCGTGCAACTTCATCAATTTAAACCATAATTGATTGTTTCGCATCGAAATTATTGCGTCGATTATGGCGACGGTAAATCCTGAAAAGGCTGCTCAAGTTATTGCTTTAATTGAAGATGGCAGAAAGGTACGTTGCTCAGGCACTTGATTTGTCAGTGTCAACTGTGCAACGTGCTTATGCCAGGTACTTACAAACCAATTCCTTCCATAGAAGGCCGGGTTCGGGACGTCCTCGATGTACCAATCACAATGATGACCGATTTATTGTTTCAAATTCGTTAAGAGACAGACATCGAACATCTGTTCAAATTAGAAACAATTTAAGGGATGTCCGCAACATTAATGTATCTGTTAACACCGTTCGGAGAAGATTAAAGGAACAAAATCTGCTTTCGCGCAGGCCAGCAGCTGTACCTTTGCTTAAATGTCACCATCGCGTAGCTCGACTCAATTTTGCAGTTAAGCATAGAGACTGGACTTATGCAGACTGGAGCAAAATACTCTTTAGCGATGAATCTCGTTTTTGTGTCTATTCTTCAGATGGACGAGAACGAGTTTATCGTCGCAGTGGAGAACGATTTGCAGACTGTACGGTAAGTGAGAGGCATAGCTACAATGGAGGCTCTGTAATGATTTGGGCAGGAATTTCAGCTAATGCTCATACAGATCTGCACTTTTTTTACAAGAATATGAACGCAGATGTATACGTGGAAGACATACTCATTCCGTATGTTGTTCCGTACGCACCCTTCATCGGAGAGAACTTCTTGTTTATGCAAGACAATGCTCGACCACACACTGCGAGAAGAGTGTTTGATTTCTTCGATGAAGTTGGCATAAATTGACTCGATTGGCCAGCAAATAGCCAAGATTTAAATCCAATCGAACACTTATGGGACAACCTCGGCAGTACGAAATCACGTACCTGCTCCTCAGTCACTGCGAGAACTGCGAATAATTCTCAAAAACGAATGGAATACAATTACGCAGGATGAAATTAAAAGACTAATAAGGAGTATGCCTGATCGTATGAATGAGGTAATACGCGCATGAGGCAGTCATACCCACTATTAGTACACACACACCACACACACAGCAGAGAGGGTTTGGAGTTATTAATTACTGCAGGAGTGACGAACTGCGGGGTCCTTATCTCTGCTGTAACACCACACACACACACACACACACACACACACACACACAACATACAATGGGACTTTTCCTACCAGTAAAACTCCATGCGGTTTATATTGAGAAGACTTACAACCATAATTTGAGCTAATGACAGCGGTATCTTAAAACGCAATTCATCTTTATTACGTAATATCGATTACGCAAAATGAAGAACCTAAATTGAATTTTACTTTCATTTCTCTGGCTTTCAAAATAATAAATGCAAATTATTGAATATATTGTGCAGGTTATGTAAATTATTGTATAGAGAATAATGAACGCGGCTATTGAAATTATGAAAGAGCCAAACGAACCGCAGAGCCTCTTAGCCCCTTAAGCCTCGCTGAATCGACATTTGTTGCAAATTCGAAATTGAATATCTCGACACCTAAATATCCTAGCAGCAAATTTCAAAAACGGTTTGAAAGCTTTGAAACCGTACTTTTCGAAAGATCTATCGAAATTGTGCGCAACGATATTTTTTCAAAATGGCGGGTGATAAAAAGGAGAACATGAAAAGTTGCTAAAAAAAGTTTCGAGCGTGCGATGGCGCATGGAGCAGAGTAAGTGTCGCAGCTCAGTGGGACGAAAAGTACCTAAGAGTATAGAATGTTTTCTTTAAAATATTTCGTTATAGAGCTTGATGCAATATTTATTCACTGAATTATGCAAATTTAACAAGAAAACCGCATTTTTAGCAAAATTTGGAACAACTCAGTGAAAAATGATCACATCGAGCTCGGTAAAGTAGCATTTTAAAGATAACACTCTATACTTTCATGTGCATTTGGTCCCATTACGCTGCGATACCTGATGCACACCATGCACCATCGCAAACACGGACCTTTGATTATCAATTTTGCATCCTCTCACTTCATCATCCGCCATTTTGAAAAAAATGGCCGAGCATAATTGCCATTCAGATATTCTTAAAGAGGACGTTTCAAGCTTCATTTTGCATTTCTGCGCATATTTGTATCTTCATTATTTACCAAGTTATGATCATTTGAAATTTTGTAATTTTTTCCCAAATTTTTAGTGTACCGGGTTTTTTGCGTTTGAGTGTAGAACTTAATTATAAACGTAATTATGAAAGGAAACTAAAAGTAAAAACATTATTTGATTGTATAACAAAGTAAAAGAATACTCTCACGTATCACGTATTATATTTCGATCTTAAGAGCTAACGCCCGTCTTAGGCCAGGTTGTCCTCAGGCCGGTCCTCGAAGGCGTCTCCCACCTGGCTCGGTTTCTCCTTGACGACGGTGCTTCCTGTCGGAAGTTGTTCCTCATCCGTGTCCTTGGTGAGGCCGACGACCATCGGGCTGCTAGGCGCCTTCTTGCCTTGTCCGGTTGGTCCGCGGCTCTTCCCTTGAGGTCCGGTTGGCACCTCGAGGTCCATCTTTGATGTCTAGTTGGTCTCGTACCTGCTGCTCGAAGTTCCCTTCGGGGTCAGGCTGGACTTTGTTAGGCCCCTCAGGGTCAGGTTGGACGGATGTTGGCCCTGGCGGTCCGGTTGGCGCCGCTTGATCCGATGCTCGAAATCCGGTCGTCTCAAGTCGGTTTGGTTCGGTCATGCCAGTGCTGGGAGATCCAAAGAATTTCCCATGCTACAGCGCATGCCTGAAGTGACGGAGAGCTACATATATGTAAAAAGCCACTGACAGTATAAAACGTATGACAGAGAGGATCCATGGAGAGGCCCACGCAAAGTATCTGTGTCTTCCGTAGTTGTCTTTCTGCGTTTCTTCCGCGAGTGTGTGGTTTAGGGTTAGGTTGAAACCGGACTCAAAATCGATGCTCAAGTAGAGCTTGAAGATGCAGATTGCAGTACATAAAAACGGATCGGTCGCTATCCGCCCAGTTTGCTGATGGCACGGCGCAGCCTCCCGAAGATGGACGGGAATCTCGGAAGCGGAAAGCTAACACCGCATTCTAAAAGTCCTTTATTCGTTCAATCTTTTATATCATGGGGACTTATCTACCGTACACTTCGCCCGGCCGCGTCGCGTTTATACGAGTCTTTCCGGGGGCACCTTGGCTCACGTCCGGCTGCTCTGGCTGTCCAGGCGAGACTTCTTCTGTTCGGCACTTTTGCGCCTCCCAAACTTCCTTCCACACTTACTCTCTCTCTCTCTCTCTCTCTCTCTCTCTCTCTCTCTCTCTCTCTCATTCCTTCTTTCGTGATAGATGCGGTTCACTCATTGCCAGTCACACTCGCTCGTATACCAGGGCGCTTGTTCCGACGATCACTGCGCGCGCAGGCGCAGACGGTACTTCGCAACGGACAACATAAACTTTTTCATTAAATCGATTATCAAAACGTAACATAATATTCTGCTATAAAATCGCTCGCAAACATAACAATGTTAAATATATATATTTTGTGTATATATAAACTTATCTCTAATAATTCTTTTTGTTCTAGGTCGCCGCGGGACATCATGGGACGCTTTAATACAATGACTCATCCAGGCAAGAATAGCATAAAACTATAATATTTCTCTACTAATCCTTTTTCCTTTTTCTGGTCTCCGCAAGACATCGAGGGATCATCGATAAGTATAAAATAAACTCTACTTAACTAATATTGGTTATCTTTTCAGGTCTCAGTAGGCTCTCGAGGGACGCCGTCTCTCGATGCTCACCACTAGTCGCATCACAGGTACTTATAATAGGTAAGTATATCTTATGTCTCATCTTAAGTATACAACTTTTAAGTATTATCTTAAGTATCTCATCGCTCGTAACTTAAACGCTTTTATCCTAATAAATAAAATTAAAACAATAACTTATTTCGCTTATTCATCCTAAATCGGGTACTTAAGTCCCTACTTAAGTTTCGCTCGTATAGACTCCTCGCTACTTTAATATTACTTATCGAGGTCCGGTAGTTCCGTCGGGTCCTTGACTGCTTGGCTCGGCTTACCACCCTTTGGAGTGCACCTTCCCGAGTACCTGCTCGGAATCCTGCGCGCCTCCTCGAGATCCGGCTGGTCTGGTCCCTGCTTCTCGGAGTCCGGACGATCCTCGTCCGATTCCTTCGAGTCAGGCTCCTTCCGGTCAGGTCCTTGGGACTGCATTTCGAAGTCCGGCATCTCGGGGTCTGGCTGCTTACGGTCAGGTCCTCGAGACTGCTCCTCGAGTTCCGGTATCTCGGCCTGGGAAGTCATCTTTCCTCGATGTGCTGTGGACTCGGGATCCTCTGGAAGAAAGTTAGGTTGGTTTAGGATTTTTAATTGAGATCCTTGCCAACCCCCGGCGTTCGTCCCCAGCTGTTGATGGAACTGCTGGTCTTCAGTGAGCTGTATTGCCTCCCGTCGGTCTCTGCTGCTAATGGTCGGCAGTGAATCGGTCTCGGCGGCACTTAAGCTTCTTCTTCCAATTCCTCGATCAGCCTTTGGCTTCCTCATCCTTGCAGCGGATGACTGCTGCAAGGTTACCCAGTAAACATTAAATATGTTATATTTATGTTGTCACATCAGCATTATAATTTCTTAATATCATTAATTAATGTAATGTGAGTGTTACTTAGTGTTTATATGTAGTGTGTAAGAATAGTAATAGTGCAATCAGTAATATCATAGTGCAATCATAATGTTCATTTTTTGTTAAATAAAATATTAGGTGCTGTGAAAATGGATGACCAACTTTCAACCAGTAGCATCGAGAAGAGGAAAGTTGGAGCACAAAAATTTAGAACAGCGTGGTTAGGTATGAACATTTTTAAAGATTGGTTGACATGGCATCAGGTACGTTCAATAGTAAATCAGTGAAAGTGTATGATATTAAACATTTACATATCATTAATGATAGTACTAAGTATTGTGTTCAATATTAATATAAGTATTCTTTTTAACGTTTATTTGTTTTGTACAATTTTATTGTAAGAATATTAGTAAGGTTTTTCTGCAGTTTCCCTTGCTATTACAACAAATGTTGGTATTCATATATTTTTCTGCTGTTAAAAAATAAAATTATATGTTTATTATTAATTATGAATAGTATTCTGTTCATTTCACAGACCTTTCTATTATCGCTACAATTCCTTCATATTTTCTTTCAAACGAGGGATCTTACACCTGTATAGGCTATAGATTGAAAATTACAGCTGAACCAACTTAAGTTACCAAGATTTAGATTACCTGATTTATGCGATTGCAATTTTCAATCCATAGTATCTTACGAGCGATAAAATACCTTTAAATTAATACGGTACTGAGGCTCCCACAGCGTTTGCTCAATGCGCACGCCCGGAAATTCTCTGGATCTCCCAGCACTGGGTTATGCTCTGTCGAGAACCATCCCGATCCCCGACCTCCATCCCCTGTTGGTGTTGGGATGGGCTCCTGGCGTTTACTCACCCGCCCAGTCCTCCCTTCCTGTCCTTGCTGATGGTTGGCACAGGCCTCGTTTCCTCGACCCTAGTAGTCCTCGGTTGTCCAGGCATCTCGGTACGCTCGGCCGCTGGCCTCGGCTCCCCTTCGCTTGCAACTGTGTGCTGTTGCAAGGTTAAGTTGTAACCGGACTGCAAGTCCTTTCTCGCGGAAGATTGCAGGTTCTCTTTTAGATAGTCGGTCGCCACCCGTCCTGTTGGATCACGCACGGGGCTACCGTCCCGGAAATGGACGGGGATCACAGAAGGAAATGTAAACACACCGCACTTTTAACTGAAAGCCTTTTATTCGTCTTCCTTACAGCCGCCGCAGCTTCGCCTCGCTCTTGGTCACGTCGCGCAGTTACAAAATCTTATCTCACGGGAGCGGGTACGCGCATGTCCGCTCTCTTCCGGCGTCAGAATCCTATTTCCCTCGGTTCCTCCTTGACACTGGTGCCTGTCGTCGGTGGATACTCCTCCTTCAGTTCCTCGGTCAGATCGATGACCATCGGGCTGTTGAGCCTCTTCTCACACGGTCCGGTTGGTCCTCGGCTTTCCTCTCGAGGTCTGGTTGGCGCCGGTCGGTCTTCCACTATCCTAGGCCGTCGGTGTGTTTCGGCGACCCTCGATTCCGGCTCTCAGCTGTCCTTGGCGCGTCGGTCGGCCGTCGGCTCCCTCTCGCCTGCAACCGTGGGCCGTTGCACACTCCCACCTGCCTCCGTGTTTCCGGGCCATCGGTCCGGAGATTCGGGGGCACTCGATTCAGGCGAGTCGGCGATCGTTCGAGAGAGTCTTCTGGTAGCGGCTTTTAGTTTTTCGGCAACTTTCTTGCGATATCGCTGATTCGCGTGTCGCTTCAACTCTCTCTTGTACTCTTCCTTTTCTTTTCGAAGGCGAGCCGCTCGTTCGTCTCTTATTTTCCTTTTTCGTAGCGTTTCCAGTTTCTCCCGCAGGATGGCTGCCTTGTCACGGTGATGGCTTTTCCGCTTTTCCTTGTCGTCGGCTTGGTTGTTGTTCCGATCTTGTGGCATTTTCTCGAGACGTTTCAGCCTTACCAGTGGCTTCATGCGGAGCTTGCTTGCTGGTTTCTCGGCTACTGGCTCGCCGTTCTCCTTGTCGCTGCTGTCTTTGGGACTGGGTTTCGATGTTCTTGTTGTCCTCGTTGGCTTCGGAATGCTTGATTTTGTCACGCTCTTTGGTTTAGGATACTCTGGATCTGGATACTCCCATCGAGCCTCAGGTAATATTGCTCTGTCAGGTCCTGTCGAGTTCGAGGTTGCTTCGATGTGTGTCCGCCGAGTGGTCTCACGGTCGCTTTGGCTTTGAGTCGGTGTTTGTTGACGTTGCGACTCGATGTTCAGGGTACTCTCGGCTTCCTCTGAGGATGACGAGGCCTCCAGTCGTTTGATGTTATTCCGACATTCGGTGATGGAACGTCGCAACTGGGAGATTTCTTTCCGCATTTTCTCGCATTTGGCCTCTTCGAGTTCACGTTCCTTCTGGCGCTGTCTCCTCAATTCTCCTCGCAGCTCTTCGCACTCTCGTCCCAGTTCCTTGAAACTCATGCTGGACCTGCAATTAGATGAGAGAGACACTCGTTAAGACACTCGTTGTTCTCGAGAGGGGTTTTTAGAGATCGATTGGATCTCCCGCGGTCCCCGCGATGGTCGCGAGGGGATACTCCCGCCAGTTCGAATTTTCCGGTGTTTGCCCGGCCGCTTGGGTAGTCTTACGACATCCCAGGTTTCGTCGAACTCCGGCAGCAATATCATTTGGTGATTGAGTTTATGGGTTCTTTTCGGTTGAATCCAGTATTCGTTCAAGTCGTCGGAGTTCGATGACAGCTTACGCGCTATAGTAGCTAATCGAATCTTTGGTCTGATTCGTTTTCTACTAGGCCCAGGCCTCGGAACTTCGCGTTCCGGCTCATATGGTGATTCGAGCTCGGCACTGTATCTCGGTTCGCTATATGGTGTGGATTGCGATTCCCCATGATCCGAAAAATTCTCGTTCGGTCTCCGCGTGTCTCCATACCGGTACGCGTATGTGGTCGCAGTTGTCGCATGTTGTACTGACCTATGAACTCGGAAGTTAGACGCTCTATTAAGTACGCGTTCGGATGTCTCGCCGCGCACGCGAAATGGTCCCTCGTACAGCGGGAACAATTTATGAATTTTCGCGTGTCGTTGGTCACTGCGGCGATGCGCCTTGACTCACACTAGGTCTCCCGCTTGGTACTGCGCGGCTGTATCATGTTTCTCGCTCTGGCGTCTGCGTTTCCGCGCCATAATTCGGAGACGCTCGCTGGCCTTTTGTTTTAGTCCGTCACGGTCTAACTATGGTGTGACTCGAGGTCGGTATCTCGGGTGGATCTATCACAAGATCTACCTCGCGGTCCTCGAGTATCGAGGGTGGCACTCCGGTGCTCGAGTGCTCGGTCGCGTTAAGTATCTGCTCGATGCGCGGCACGATCTCGTCCCATCGACGATGATCGTCGCACGCGTACGCACGCAGCGCGCGACCCAACTCTCGCATGACTCTCTTTACGGGGTTGCTCTGTGGGTTGTACGGGAATGTTTTTCGTACCTTAAACCCCTGTCGTCGGGCGAATTCCTTCCAGTGACCTGCAAGGAACTGACCACCACAGTCGGATAAAATTGTACGCGGTTAACGTCGAGGAAGTAACCTTCCTCGAGTACTCGTTCGATGGTCTTGAGTTTTTGGTCTCGTAATGGGTACATTTTGGTATACTTCGAGAATTGGTCTATCATTACGAGGACATACGCGTGTCCGTCGTAGGATTTTGGTAAAGGCCCGTACAAGTCGATGGACGCGACCTCGCCGACGTTTTGCGGGAGATCATAATACTCTGCTCTTCGAGTAGGTCTCGAGTACACTTTTGTTGCTATGCAAAGGTGACACGAGGCCACTACGTCTCGAGTGATTCGGTCGACGTCGTCAATGTCGAAATATCGTCTCGCGAACTCTAAAAGTTTGTCGGTGCTGAAGTGGGTAAGGTACTGGTGGATCTAACTTATCAATTCCCACGCGATCTCGTTCGATACTGTGACTCGGTCGCTACCATCTTCTCGCACAGTTCGGATAAATCCGTTGCGCATCTGATACTAGTTCGGGTCATCCGCCGCTCATTCTAATATAAGCGAATCGTTGATTTGCGCGTCGCGGATGAACTCGATACAATCACGAGTGTTCCTGCCCTCGTCAGTCTCAGCCATGAGACATACGAGGCGCGTACTTTTTGCGGCCTTCGCGGTCCCACTCATAATTGGTGTCTCTTTCGCAGCCCGACTCGGATGAACCAGAGTCGCTGGTTCTTTGCTGTCGCTTCCAGCGCTCGCTGCGCTCGGTTCTTCTTCGTTTGCGAATCGGTTTGCGCGAAAGCGCGTCCGCCGTGGTGTTTGTCGCGCCGGGAACGTGACAGATGTTGAGGTCGAATTCTTGTAAAAAGGCGAGCCATCTTACCATTCGCTGACTCGCCATGGCGCATGCGCTTACGAAGTTGAGTGCAAGGTGGTCGGTCTTTACCTTTACGCGACGTCCCATCAGGATTACTCGCCATTTTCGCAAGCACCACACGAGGGCTAGTCCCTCGAGCTCTGTTATGGTGTAGCAACGCTCGGCGCCCTTCAAACTGCGGCTCGCGTACGCGACGGTGTACTCGCGACCCGATTCATCGAACTGAAAGAGACGCGCACCTATTCCGACGGTTGACGCGTCTGTCTCTACTCCGTAGTTGTACGCCGGATCTAGTAGATAAAGTCGGCTCGCGTCGCGTACGCTATCTTTAATATCTCAGAACGCCTGATGCGTCGTCGTGAACTATTCGAACTTCACGTCTTTTCTGAGCAACCTTTCCATGTGGATCGTGTATCGTGCGAGATTCGGGATGAACCGGCGGTCCCAATTCACCAGTCCGAGGAAGGCCTGTACCTCCTTCTTGTTTCGCGGCTTTGGAAAATTTATTACGTTCTGCTTGGTCTCGTCCGTGATGGTCACGTGGACTCGCGAGATATCATGTCCCAAAAAGACTATTCGATCCTTCGCGAATTCACATTTTTGTCTGTTTAAGCGAAAACCGGCCGTCTGCAGCGCGTCGAACACGCCCTCCAGCTGTTGCAAATGGTCGCTCTCGTTTTCGCTGGCTATCAATACGTCATCGAGACAGGCGGGGGAGGAAGTGAAGGACTAGGCCGCGGACCTGGGCCTGCACCTCCTGAACAAGGGTGAAAAATCAACCTTTGTAGGGTCGCAGGAAGAATCGATTATTGACCTGTCATGGGCAACCCCTGCGGCCCTCGGGAGGGTGCAGGCATGGAGGGTGGCGGATGAATTGAAATCCCTTTCGGACCGCCAAATCATATAAATGGAGCTATCCGTCACCCTAGACTGTCTGTGGCCCAGAAGGAAGGAAAACCCCCGATCAGCTCGATGGGCCCTGAGCCAGCTAGATAGGGAGGCACTTAATGTCTCCCTAGAGGCTACCACCTGGCCATCATGGAAGGAGGGGCAGGACCTGGACTCTGTGGTAGCCGAGTTCATAGGCCTGATCACACGTGCATGTGATCAGGCCATGCCAAAAGTCGGGTTCTGCCCCAAAAGGGACGCCTGGTGGTGGACCGATGATATAGCGGATTTAAGGAGAAGTCGGTCCACCTCAGGCGAGCCTTTAGAAGAGCCCGAGACAAACGGGCATCGAACCCTGAGTCAACCCTGTCCGCCCGCAGCGAGTATTGCATGGCAGCGCGAGGATCACGCAAGGCCATAGAGCTGGCCAGGGAAAAAGGGTGGGACAACCTCCTCCTAACGTTAGATGCGGATCCATGGGGGCGCCCATACAAAATGGTCATGCAGAAACTACAGCCATCGGCGCCCCAGTTAACGGAGACGCTTGACCACCGGTTATTAGAACGGGTAATGGGGACTCTTCTCCCAGTTAGGAAGGGGAATCCCCTACGCCCATATACTACCCCCTCCCTCGAAGAACAGAGGGAGGTACCGGGGATCACGAAGGAGGTGGCCGGGGCCATCCGAAAGGTCAAAAGCCGAAAGGCTCCAGGACCGGATAGTATCCCCGGCCTTACCCTTGCCTCGGGGTTCATAGAGGGAAGAATGGCTGACCTCTTCGAGGCGGCCTTTAAGGAGAGCAAATTCCCCCCAGTCTGGGGGAGGGCCAATGTGTTCCTCCTCCAAAAAGAGGGCAAACCGGAGGATTTCCCCTCCGCGTATCGCCCCATGTCTCCTGGACGAGGCGGGCTAAGTGTTCGAACGTGTCATCGCCGCCTGCCTCATGGAACATATGGCCCGGGAAGGTCAAAATCTCGATGACGGCCAATTCGGCTTCCGAGGGGGAAGATCGACGGTGGATGCGATCTCGCGTCTAAAATCCCTCTCGGAAGCGATAGTAATGGAGGGCAGAGTGGGAGTTGCAGTATCTGTGGATATTGCAAACGCGTTTAACACCCTGCCCTGGGGTAGGGTGGTGGAGGCGATGTCCCAACACTTCCGCTTCCCACACTACCTCACGGCCGTCATCGAAGATTACTTCCGGGGTCGGCGTCTAAGTTGGAGGGACGCCGACGGCAAGATACGCGAGAGGGGAATGAGCTGCGGGGTTCCACCGAGGTCTGTTTTGGGCCCGCTCCTGTGGAACCTGGGCTATGATGAAGTCCTCCGCTATGATGAACTCCGGGTAGTCCTCCCCCCGGCTGCAGTATCATCTGCTATGCAGATGATACATTAATCTAAGCCGGGGGAGAGACTGGGGAATGCGGTACAAACCGCAAATTACGCGGTGGCATGCGCCGTGCGTGCTATCCGCTGCGACGGGATTTTCGCTCGCCGTTGGCAAACTGCCGTCGGTCCACGCGCCTCGGTTGTTCGCACTCGCACCAAAGAGTTGGGCGCCAGGTGCAGCGGGCTGCACCGTTCACCAATACGAAACGATACACCACCCAAGGCCGAGACACGCGAATTCGACGGGACCGGTAGCTCCGCGGTATTTTATAGTCGGTAGACGGGAGGGTTCGATCGGGAATCCGGGATTCAGTTGGGAAGACACAAAAATAGAGACGCGCTTCGCTCATCTCAGTTTCTCTTTATTACAGGAATCGGAACGGTCCGACCCCTCGATACGGTACACTCCGCGAGACGCTCTCGCGAATTCGAAACTTGCTCTTCGCCGATAACTATTACGAGACACGGTACGCACGAGACACCGGAACGACAAAGCAGGTAGAAGGTCTTACAGATTCGGGAACCTCCCGGCGACGTGGTCCTCCGACCCTCTTCCTCTCCTCGCTCCCCCGCAATTTCTCGCTCTTCGGCAGCCCCCTGGGCGCGTGGAACTCCACCACACTACTGTGGTCCACCAACTCTCCCTCTCCGCCCTCGGTAATCGGGATCCCTGTTCCCTCTGTCACAAATGGCTCGATATCGGTAATCGACACTTTTGTCTTAGGTGATGATAACTCCGCAGGACTCGGTAATCGACTCTCGAAGGAGAAGGTAAGAAAAGAAAAAGAGAGTAAAGAAACGGGAGTGCCGTCTTTTATTTCTTTTGGGTTGTCGCGCTACCCGTCCTTCCCCGTTCTTCGTCGTGTCTTCCGATACGGGAATCCTTCCGCGGATCTTTGTTTTCGATCCGCGGGACGGGGGCTTGGTCTCACTCTTGCTCGTTCTCTCTCTCTCTCTCGCTCGCGCTCCCGCTGTCTCCTTGTCTAGGCCGGCTTTGTCTAGCCGGCGCTCACGGTTCGCGCACGGGAACGCCGACAGTTTGGCGCGATATCCCTGCGGGCCTGTGGACAACGGAATCGGCAGCGAGAATCTTTCAAGGCGATACGGAATCGATAATAGTACTTTTAAAGAAGCGCATTCACCTGGGGTGGCGGTCCTGTCGAGGTGTGTCGTCCTCTTCCTTCTTCCCGCTGGTCCCTCCGGTCTTGATGGGCGGCACAGGAGGTCCAGGGGCACAGAGCTCGGGGACCCGGGACCGTTCCACCTGCACTCTTCTATCGCTAACACTAATTAATACGGGGGGCGTAATGTGGCTCTCCCCCCGTATTCCCGCGCGATGTACTGTCCGCACCCCCGCATAAGGGCCGAAGGTTCGCCCTGGAACGGGCGCCTTCCCGGCTGCCACATCACACCGCAGATTGGGTCTGACGGTGGCTGAAAGAAAAACACAAGCGATATTCTTTCACAAGAAGGGGATGAAGCCACCTCAAGCCCATCTGCGGATGGGAAGGATTAGAATTCCAATAGAGGCCCA